TGTATTAGGTGGTTCATGTACTTTTTCAGGTCAGCGATCATAACACTTTCAGGGTGCCGAGAGATGTCCTCATAACTGTCATCTGCTGTTTGGTCCATCTGAGCTGCTGATTGTGAACCCTTGGTACGGAGAGTGACGTTACGAAGGCTGTCTTCATTGTCCAGTGTTATACACCCTTTTTGGTGTTTTGTAAGCGCAACCACATCTGTTTCGTTTTGTCGTATGGGGGTATTTACGTTTCCCGTTTTGGGCTGCCTACAGAGACACTCTGGACATTTCCACTCCTCCTTTCGCTTCATCAAATTAAAAAGTTTATAGCTGGTGTTAGCGCACTCTAGGTCATAGCCGGATTTGCATAGCATACATATTAAGAATTCCCTTTTTGGTAATGGTTTTCTGCATCCAGCACAGTTCTTTGAAGGGCTCATGTTTTGATTTCCTATTGGTATTTGTGGTGATTTACCGCCCTCTGGTGGTATTTATAAGCGATATGGCTATTCAACGATAGTGCTTTTATGCAAGAAGAAGATAAGAGTTTCCTTAAACTCCGTCCAACCACTTATTTAACTTTTGACAGCTCGAATTCTAATCAATTAGTGATGTCCTAATGCGTTTCCGATTCCATTTTTTTTATAACAATCGATTTTATATATAAAGAAGTTAAAATCGTGAATATGACCTCGTTCAAAAAGAAGATATTGTCTGATTGCGGTCATGATATTGCATTTGATAATTTGTGTACTCAAGAATTAATAATTAATGTTAATGAGGATTCAAGTGATGATTCCCGTTCATATGGAGAAGAATCCGACAATTCATTACAATAAACAATAACGATTTATTATAATTAATTATAAAATATTTAATTTCATTATAATTTATTAGACAGGTACCAAAATTTATCAACTTGAATAATCTTCGTTACATAATCTGTTGGCTCGATAAATATAGGAGCCAAAGAGCACGTTGCTTCACTAAACTTAAAAAATAAGAGTCCTATAATTCCTGTATGTAATTTTTTTTTCTACAGTTGTAAGTCAATAATTATTTATAATAGACGCATAAACGAGAGCCAAACTGACATTAATTTACAGTAACATGTTTATTTAATTTTTTCTTGAGTTCTTACGCGGTGCTTGGTAGGCGAACGAAAACCTTTACTTCTATCTTTACCCAAACCGTTCTTGTCTTTAGATTTATAAAGATGAAAGAAAAATAATATTCCATATCACATAATAGGCCACCTAAAAATTACTACATACATATATTTTCCTTTTTGTTGAGACTTATTCGTTGCTCTATTCATATTACCTATAAACTATATCTGGTTGTTCTTTTTCTATACGTCATTTAAATTGACTCATTTTGTTTATTGGTTACATCACTTACATGGAAATGATGAAATTTGTAATAACATTCATAGTCTCGCACTCACGAGTCACGAGACAAATACATATAGGCTATACAAATATTTCTCCCGGCCCGGGAATCGAACCTGGGACCTTTTGCCTGGCAGACCAACATGGTAACAGTTCGGCCACGGAGGCAGTTGATGATAGTAATGTTATGAAATTCTTTAAATTCGCTTTTATTTTTTAAATTCAGAAATGTACTCAATAAATCGTGCGGTACGATTTTTTCATATTGTATGACGATTAGTCGTCTCGTGTAAATAGCTTTGTAGTGTGGGAGTGATATCGACTGATGTTTTATTTGTCATTCCGGTTTTTAGTAACGTTGGCAATTCTTGTTGGGAATGATAAGAATATGGTTTATAGTTTTGTTAAGATATACCAAGAGTTTGGAATATCTGCTGAAGAGCACTCGTGCTTGGGATCGTGCAATGGGTATCGTTTGTACACATTTGCGGTGCAAAGGACGTATTCTTAGTAACGCAAATACGTTTTAGGTCGTTTGACATATGATCTATACTTGTGATTGCGCTAGATCTGCTACCCCAGAAAATTTAAACACAATCCTCTTTTGCGTTGGGAATAGGAAGGGGTTTACTCTATTATCGGTAAATTACAGAGAATTAAGTTCCAACAGTGCTTTCAAAAGAACCACTGATAATTACCCTTAACGTGAGGAATATCCTCTAAAGGTAACTATATGAACCGTCGACAACTAAACTGGTTAGTTGAGAATAAATCGCGATTGCCCGTAAAATATAGGGTATGATAAAATGGTTTGTGGAAAGGATGGATGTTAGTAGATTTCCTACAAATTTATAGAGCGAATGAGGATGGGAACTAGGGCATGCAAAAATCGATTTTGAAAACCGGTGTTTTCAGTTTTTTATTTTCGGTTACGTGAGTAATTAAAAAAAACATCAAATCAGTGTTTAGTAGGTTATTTTAATTATTTATGGACTCCACAGCTTCAATAAGATTAATCAACTTCGCGGATTATAATAACAAAACAAATCAACAACATTAATATTTTAAAATATGCATATTTAAAGCATATTTGTTGTTATAGTGTTCACGCGCGCGCATCTCTCTTGCTCCTCGCCACCTGCACCAAAAGCTGAAACTTTCTCTTTTTCCACGTAGGTACCAAATAAAATTAGGGTTATTATTTTGTTTTCATAAAAAAACATACTTTAAATCGCTCTCATCTAATATTTTGCGAATGCACGTTATACGTTTTACCGTTCCACCGTCGAAATACTATTTCATTATGTTCAACCTATTTATACTCCACTGAACTCCTTTCCGGGGAGTGTTTAGGCCATAGTCTGTCATGCTGGCCCAATGCTGGTTGGAGACTTCACGTCATGATTTTCGAGGATTGTGAACCGTCTTCGACGTGCAGGTTTTATGACGATGTTTTTCTTCACCGAAAAGCCATGGCAAACTATATTTCGCTCATAAATTCCGAGAAGCTCAGAGGAGCCCAAATTCGAACCCACGGCCTCTGCTGGAGAGGCGGAAGGTTTTACTATTTCATTATCATCATGACTGCATGTAAGACAAGACTCGGTCATCATTCTCCTCTGTGTTTGTTAAATTCGAATTTCGACTTCGACATTTCGAATTGTATTCGAAATGTTTTCGATATTTTCAGTGGTTCTTCTTTGTCCTCATCTAAACGGTGTATACGTAAAATTTATACAAAAAAAGTAAGTTATCAAACACTTTTTTATTGCATTTCTTTTTTGTTTTTAAACATCTAAGTTACATTGTTCATTTGTTTTTTTTTATTTAGTTTGTAAACAGAAATTGAGCTATCCGAGTCCATATTAGATCAAGATTTACGTGAAAATTATACGCATGTTGTGCTTATACCTAGTAGGTTCCACAGTATTCGTATTGTATTTAAGCATGTCTAGTTAAGATTGATAACTCTGTAACCAGATTTGTAAGCCAAATAAAAAAAAACATCTTCAAATCAGCCGGAAGACGTCCACCGCTGAAGATAGGCCTCCCCAAAGATTGCCAGACTAGCCGGTCGGAAGCAACGCGCATCCATCGGTTACTCGCCGCCCTTACCAGGTCACCTGTCCATCTAGTAGGGCCCACTGAACGCCTTCCGGTTCGTGGTCTCCATTCGAGAGCCTTTCTGCCCTAACGTCCGTCAGTTCTACGAGCATTGCTCGCTCCATGGCTAGTTGAGCGACTGGCGGAGAATGACGGACCTAGACGAGCGACCCGCTCCCCAAGAGGTCGAGCGGGAGCGCCGCCTCGCGGCACAGCGCATGCGGGACCGGTGGAAAGAGGGCTTGGCGGATCCCCCCTATGGCGCTCGTACCATAGGGGCGATCCGCTCTGTCCTCGTAGAGTGGGTAAACCGGTCCCACAGGCCACAGTCGTACCACTTTGTCAGATGCTGACTGGGCACGGGTGTTTCGGTCACTACCTGCACAAAGTGGCTTTTTAGGAGGTCAATAGTAAGTGACCATGTCTCAGAGCCGTAGGTCATCACTGGCAACACACACTGCTCGGAGACTTCAAGGACTGCGGTATTGTGGACGCTAAGACGTCCCGGAGTACTATTAATACTATTTGTTCAGAGCTAATTAAACTTGTTGAAAGGAATATATTATTATCTAATAACAATAGCTGCAACGGGAGGTTCCTATCACGACTATTACATAGATTACGTAGATCGACTACTACAAAGTTAATAATAGCAGACAGCAATTATAAACAAATAGCTTTTATCGGATACCATCTGAGCTATTTAATTATAGTGTAGAGTAAAATATGAAGGTGTTTTAATATGTAAAACATTAGGTGATACTTATACAAAATATGAGGTATGTGCACGTGTTGCATACATTGCCGGATTAAGTTCCTTGGGTGCCCTACGCATTATAAATGTAGTAATTAATAGCACATTGGGCAATTTGACATAATTAATTGTTAAATGGGACCAATCCTGAGGTTCGGGGAAAAGAGGGTTCTTTCCAACAAAAATGAATCATCGAAAAACGGTTCACAGAATCGTGTCCATACACACACACACAAAAATTACATTCGAATTGAGATCATCCTACTTTTTTTGAAGTCGGTTGAAAGGCAAGGAGGGTAGATACGATCATTATTATTACGTATGGTTATACATAATTAGTTCTTCATTGAAGGTCAGAGGATCCCGGAAGTGGTAGGTACTAAAACGTTTGCCGGCGCAATGGACGTGGAATATACGAGTACATACATAGTTAGCTAAATAAATTGTGAAAAAATTGTAAAAAGTATATAAGTATATTATATATTAATATTTAAATATACGTTCTAACAATTATTAATATTAGAGTATTTATTCAAAAGGCTTTCATTACAAGATATTCTTTGGTTGCACCCCCCATTTCTATTCTTAAATTTCTATCCTAACGTTGCCTGGAAGAAATTGCTACTTAGCAATAAGCCGCTTGTTGTATATTGGCTTACTATGTGATACTTGCATTACTGTTCTGTGTTATCATTGTCATTTTAATGTGCAATAATAGGATATTTAATTTCATTCATTTATTCATTCATTCATAAATTGCTTACCAAGAGGCATCACGTGACCGAAGTGGTTTCCATCACCGACCCCTGAACAGTTCCACCTGTAACCACCGAGTTGCACTCGGCACTCTGAGTACGCCATTCTGTTGAAGAGGTTTTTTGATTATTATGTAAATAAGAAAAAACCAATAATGCCTACTTGGGAGAACACTTGGCTCCTGAGTTCCTGAGGGACCTTCATCGAGCGGCAATAATATCAATTGACTAAAAGGTGACATTTACATGTTACTTCTAATGTTTTTTTTTGAAAATGATTTTTTTTACCTAATTTTGGTTGAAAAACGTATGGTAAGTAATAGGTTTTCGCGATTGTGTGTTTTTTCAAACAAACCGATGCTTCGTTTACAGTGACCATGGGATCTGTAAAGAGCCCGAAACGTCGGTTTGTTTGAAAAAACGAATATACGCGATTTAAATCCGCATAAATAGTTTCATTTCCTATTACAAGAATGCATTATGAATCTTTGATCTCAAAGCATACAAATTTACTAACTGAATAGGAAACTGAAAGTCTGATTGATGAGTTATAAATATTTGTACACTGCTCAAACAAGTAACGAAAGAAAATTATATAAAGGTAAGCAACGACAAACATATGACTAAAAGAAATCTCTTTCAAAGTTTTCGTAATTTTGGTGCAAATGCAATACTTTTTACACTCATCATCAACCCAGTTATATGTCCCACTGTTGAGCACGGGTCTCCACTCATCTCTCATCACGATGTTTTCCTTCATCGAAAAGCTCATGGTAAATTTCAAATTAAATTTAGAATAGAATAGAATAGTAACCATTTATTGCAACGCCACATACCAAACATGAAAAAGTAATATGAATGAAAAAAATATAAAAAATAAAAATTATAAAATAAAATAAATAACAGAAACAACAGCATAGCTAACATTTGAACCAAACAACAAATTTTACTGTATAAATTAATACTATACTGACATGTGTGCGGCAGTGGCGTATGCAAAAGGATCTCATTCAGCTAAAGCCACAGCCGAGAATGGGCTGTGGTGCTGGTTTTCAATGGACCCTGGCGAGTGAGTGACAGACGTCTGAGTCGCGATATCACATAAGTTCGCACATAAGTATCGAGAAACTGGATTCGAACTTACGGCCTCTGTTTGAGATGCGGTATATTAAAGTATTAGGCTACCACGGCTTCTTTTTTACACTATATGTACTCATGTAATCCGATCAGTCACTGACACTAAATAATAATAATAAATTAAATTACAATAATAATGTGTATTATGTATTATAAAATGTAGGGAGGTGGCTGTGAGGTAATGATGGTGGTGTAGTGAGCTATGTTTGATAATTAACAAAATACTCACTTCAACCCGTCACCGACGGCAGCGATGGCTGCCGGTGACGTTCGGCACATTGCTCTTTGTTTCTCAGTCAACCCGTGCACTCGTGCGCAGACTAAATGCGCGCCTAGGGAGATCCCGCTCGACGTACTGCTTCTGTGGAAGAAAAATGTGTTCTAAATTTATGTAATGGTTAGTAACCGTACAAACAAACTTATGTACCGATAATTAGGCTACATAAAGGTTCTAAGAAGTCTTTTGATACAGTCGGTAAGCATCAGAAGTTGAATATACAAAAACTTATCCAAAAACCAAAGTACTTATGATCCGGAAATGATTCTCTGAACTGCCACGTACACCCATAAAAAACCTACTGCATAATCTAAAATTACAAAATCAAACATTATAAACTAAACACAAACAGTGAGAATTACTCCAATTTGCTCTCGAATGGAACAATGAATAAAATAAATATTTTCCTCGGGCCGCGTGGGCGCGGTGTGAATTGGCCGGTCTGTCACCGCGCCGTTAATTGGTTCACGTCATTACCGCTCGAGTAGTAATGAGACGACACGGGACTGACTTGGCGATGAAATCTGTTAATTGAAGTTGCAGCTTTCTTTTGCATGGTTGTTGTAGGTATTCTTAATAAAAAATTACTAACGGGATACCGAAAGTTATACCAAACAAATAATAAAAGAAATATTAATCCTATAAAAGTGTGGTCGGTCTTCATGGTATCGCGATGGCGACACTATGAAAACCCCAGTGCGGGGTTGTGAGTGTGTAAGAAAAAAAAATAGTCAGCTGTAATCATGGGGTCTGTAAAGATCCCGTAAAGTTGGTTTGTTTGTAAAAAAACGAATATACGCGATTTAGTCAAAATCTCGTATAGAACTTCGTCACTGCTGCCAGCAATTTATCTACTGACATCACTACTAATTATAAGTAGAAGCCTTTCTGAAAAGAGGCTTAAGGTTTCTCTGAACGAAGTTGATAACTTTTTTGTGTCTAAATATGAGAGTACCTCATACTGTATACGTGAAATTTTATAACTCTCATTAGTAACCAGTGATTATAAGGGTATATTCTATATCTTTATAATCAAAAGTTACTATTCTTCAAAATACAGGAATGAAAACAACTGAATTCAAACATTAATAACGTTATCAAAATTAAAAATTAACTGAATTTCCAAATGAAATAAAATCCAATAAAATTTCAAATTAACAATATTATGTGTACATGTAAACTACTTTAAACTATTTAAAACTAAAATTTAAAACTATTGACTTGAAAACATTTTTGTTTTATTTCATTTTTATTTATTTATTGATTCATTTAATTCAGGCCTAACTCACCTATATAAAATATATCTCAAAGACTAACATTCATACAATATACCATAATAATATAATAAACTAAATAACTAATCTACACGAATTGCCTAAAAGTAGCCTGCTAGTCCGTTTTCTATCGGAGACATATCGGGGAGTGTGCGCAGGAACTTTTCAATTCAGTTCCACCCTCACTGTTCATTCTTCGGTCGACTAGAAGGTCCGGAACACTCCATCCTTACGTCGTTGATATACCAACTATTCGCACTAAGCGCTTTGCTTCCTCCTATATGATGCGTACGTCAAAGGAATTGAATACTCTACTGTGTTTCCCGAAACGTACAATTTGGGATGATTGTGGTCAAGCGTGTGTCTATTATATATATAAAAAAATTGCACTTGTCGGGACGTGTGGCGCAATCGGGTGTCAGGTAATCGGCCGCGGCATCGCCGATATTTATGACACCTTTCGGCCAAAACTCTTTCTTCGTGGAGTATATGTAGAATTATAATTTCTTTTATGTAGTAGTTCGTATAACTTTTATGACAGTTAAGTGACAATACTCATATCGATGCCTTACTTTCTCAGGGTCCTATTCTAGAACTCTATTCAATGCTTAAGTCAGGATTGCACTGGCAACACAAGCACTGGAAATACGACCCTAATGGCAGGGACTTGAGTATGATTTCGAGTGCTTTAAACCATACTCAAATCCTGACTTGAGCATTGAGTAGAGTTCTAGAATACGACCCTTGAACTCGTATCTTATATAGAGTGATTATTCAGGATATGACAAAATCTTCTATTTATTTTAAATTTCTTATCAAGGGTGTTAATTTGGATGCATTACTTTCAGAAAAGCCAATGTGTGAATATGAAGGAAATGTGATATGAAATCTACCTGCAAAATTTGTATTATACAATATTTTTTTTGCATTTCAGTAACTTTGCGTTTTAAGAGACGAATTTGAGAAAATAAGGCGACGATAGTTGGGTTTGTAATACCAAAGGTACGATATAAAGTTTTGTTGATAAAGAAAAAGACAGATTCAATTTAAACAGCGTTTTTTTTTTCACGAAGACGCGAAGAAAACTGTACATTGTTAAAAAAAATCTCGTCATTACCGTCCGTGTATTACACGACGACACGAGCGGGACTGGCATGAGCGGTGAAATCTGTTAATTAACTTGCACTCGCAAAGGGGACTTTCTTTTTGTACTGCACATTCGGCCGCCTACTTTAGTTAGAATTTAAATTTCTTAATATTCCTATTGTATATATGTTGTATATACTAATTAGCTACAATTTAAAAACTATCTATTGATTATTTACGAATAAAACTAGTTATTAGTTAAGGCGAAGCTGCAGAGCCTTGAACACCGCCGCAACGTTGCCTGCTTATCGTTATTCTACAGGATATATCATGGAGAGTGTGCGATAGAATTGCATAATTTGATTCCGCCTTCCCCTTTCCATCATTGCGGGACTAGACGTGGGTTGAAATTCCACCCCTATGTTGTGGATATTCCATAGGATTCGCTTCCACATTTATATGGCGAGCGGCTGGAAAGTGGAATTCCCTATCTGCGGATCTATTCCCCGAAAGCTATAACTTGGAGCTTTTCAAGGCGAGAGTGAATAGGCGTTATTTAGGTGTGCATACTACATCGTCGACCTCGTCGTCACTTTCCACCAGGTGAGATGGAGGTCAAATGCGCACTTATTTTTAATAAAAAAAAACAAAACTCCTACCTATGTCTCGTTCTTTCTCTCCAATCCCTTCATTTATTCCTTTATTGATAAATTGATAAAGCATTTATACAGCACATTACACTGCGGCATTACATATAACAAGAATAAGGAAAGTTATAATGAATAATATACTGAAAAGGTTTTAGTTCAGCATCATGCTGCCAACTTTATAAGTTTGTAGCTCTGATACTCTGCCGACGCCTAAATTTTATTATATTAAATTGTATAATATTGCATAGTGTTCCAATTTTCCTATGTTTATTTACTATTATTTTGGATAAAAAAATAACTATTTCAGACTTCCACAGTTGGCTGTGATCAGGCACTGAGGTTCAAGAATCGGCGAACAATACTTGCCGTATCGAGCAGGATCAGTTCTGCATTTTGTGCTGAGTTATTATTATTATTATTTATGTCTTATTTTAGTTTATTTCACATTTTACTTACTTTATTTTATTGTCAAAAGCATGTATTTATTGTATTGTATTTTTTAAACGCTTCCATTAGAAAATATTACAATAATTTACCGAAAACATTAAGGTCTGAGAAAAACATTATGCTATTTAAAAGACAATTGAACAAGTTATTTACTAATGAAATATACAGTATAGAGTTCGAAATTCTAAATGATAAATCTTAAATTCATTGTCTAATTTTTATCATTGAACATTATTCATTTTACGATATTATTTCGACATCTAGTTACCATTAAAATTAACCCTTGCTATCTATTATCGCGTTTAAATTCTGACCGACTTATTAAATCCATGTGTGCACGTCCATGTACGGACAACGGCGCAGACTACACATTTTTATTCGAAAATCGCCTCCATTGCAACGGAACAAGATACGTCAATGTGTAGTTTGACGTGCAGGCGTGTGCACCTAATATTATTGAAAAAGAAACATGTTACACCTGGTTTAGTCTGTCGAAGTGCATTTGAGTGAATGTATACTATACCTTCAATATTTGTAAGCCTAGTGTATGGAGGGACACAGTGAAACTATACTTATTTTGTACAGCCAAGAGCACGTCAAGCTTGACACTTTGTACTTTGGATCATTCTTATGGTAAGCGTCATAGGGTCGTATTCCAGAACTCTACTCAATGCTCAAGTCAGGATTTGAGCAGACTTGAGTATGATTTCAAGCACTGGAAATACGACCCTAAAGGCAAGGACTTGAGAATGATTTCGAGTGCTTTAAACCATAGTGAAATCCTGACTTGAGCATTGAGTAGAGTTCTAGAATACGACCCATAGAGTTGGATTTAAGTCTTAAGTGTCAAGCTTGACGTGCTGTTGACCCTGTACATATCAGCATCTATATAACCTGTGTTTTCACAAATATATGAATTATTATTATTATTAAGATATTCATTGATTACACTTTCCTTTCTAAATTTAAAATTTATATCCTGAAGTTGCCTGGAAGAAACTTGCTAAATGTTAGCAACGAGTCGTGCCTATTGTACGTTAGGTTATTCTGTGATACTTACATCGCTGTACTCTATTGTCATTGTAATTTTTTAAAGTGCAATAAAGAATATTTCATTCATTCGTTTAAAGTATTGTAAAAAAAGATAATCTCCTAAAATGGACTAATATCACTAAGTAAATTTAGTAGCAGAAGAGCTCCTTGTGAAAGAGCTCGTCCAGGGAAGTACTGCCACTTTACATATTTCTACTGCCAAGCAGGCACATGGGACTTGTCAACTTATGTCTCAGGGTGACGGGCGCAGTGGTAGTACCCCTCAGATATTTGCGATTTGCGAGCTCTGAGTGGCGCCGCAATTACTTCAGTCACTTGGAATCATAAAAAAAACATGGAAATTTTACAAGAAAAAAAATGTTCTCCTGATAACTAATATTCAAATTTATGTACTCTATATATGAAAACTCGAACAATAAATTTTGCTAAATTAACAAATTTAAATTAATGTATAAAACAAATGACAATACAAATATAAAATTGAATTGTAAAGGAAATGAATAATATTCACCTGTAAACATTACATCCCACGCACGTCAGTCCCCTGGCCAATTAATTCACGATTTATGAGCGT